AAAAAGGCGGGTCGGGTTGGGCCAGCTTTTTTCGAGCCCGCCATGATGGCGGGCTAGCCCTCCCCGCCCCGCCAATATGCGGGCTTTGGCGTGCTACGGGCCGGCCCATTTTGACAACTCTACACGCGTGCATTCACGTAGAATATATCGGGGTGAGTCAGTAACAACCAGTGAATTTCGGTAACTTGTAGGTAAATTGAGCATATATCCTGAGTTTTAACTAGTTATTGACTTATTGTCTTGTTTTACCAAAAAAAAAAAAGCCACATTTGGCACAAGCAACAAGTTACGGGGCACAAATTATAATTTTGCCTATAAAAAGTTAAACCATGCTTTTTAATTTAATAATTTGCTCACATTTATTTCACACACAACTTTAACTCGACTTCACTATTCTTAATATTATTTATATAATTAAATAATATAAATCAATCATTTGAAATATCACATCAACTTTAATTCACTATTAATTCGCTCACATAATTTTAACTACCTATAATTTTCAATCATTTCCAGTCATTTATCTCTTACTTTTATATCAAACCAATAAGGATCATTTTATTTTAAATATTATTTTATTTCTTAAAATCCCACTAACAATTAACCATACCACATTTTTCAAAATTAACTCTATGTAATAAAAAAAAACTCATTTTTAATGGATTATTTGATAAACAAGTGAGCGCATGATTGGATACAAAATTATCTCAAAAAAATCCAAATATTTTTAACTCAACTACTTTTTAACTCACCCCACAATCATCAATTTTATCAATATAATTAAATCCTATTACATTCATGGCTAAAACCGAATTTTTGCAAATTACGGGGGCAAAGTTAAAATTCAACATCTTCAAGGACAAGAACTGCAATTTAGAGAAGACGAAACAGAAACGAACGCAACACACCCGAGCCCGACTAACCGACCAGGCGAGCACAGAATAACATCAACAGCACGCTGAAGTTTGAAGTTAGATGTGAACAAAATCCTAATAATACTAAAACAGCAGAAAGGCAATCGAATCTGATCTCTGGGAGCCCTGAATTTTCAATCTGGGAATTTTCTTCAGGCCAACTAACTACGTTTACGGATCGGAAATTAACCGATCCTTCTTCCCGATTGAATCTCCGGCGGACGATCGACGGCGGAGACCTCTCCGAAGACATGTTCAAGAATTTCTGGTAACAACCAATAATCCCTTTCCACTTTTTTTCCTTAGGGTAAAATGGATTATTTCTTTCGCCCGTAGATGAAGAATGTTAAGTTCTCTTCATGATCGATGCGTCTGGATCTGTATTGGCTTAGTTTGTTCTTGTTTCTCTACTTATCGAATGTTTGTTAAAAATATTCAGTTTTTGGCTAATCAAATCAGTATTAGGGTAGCTGTGCTGATCGATTTTGGGTAACTTATGTGTTCCGAGTAGCTACTTGCTTTGTGGGGATTGTTGTCCGTCTTTTCACAGATGCATTCTCAATTTCTATTGATTTTCTTGCATGTTGCTGAATAGTTTTATCTTGCATTTATGCTTCTTCCTGAATGCTTGATAATTGATAACCCACATTTTATCTTTGCTAGTAATGTTGTTGCACTAATCGTTATATTTTCGGCACATATGTTAATTGCGCACATGGAGCTACTTGGCTGTGTTAATTATTTCTTCTCTGGAGTTTATCTGTGAATTGATGTTAGAATGGACTCTGGAGTGACCAGGAGAAAGTAGTACACTGCTCTTTAGGGATTTCTAATGACTGTCTTCTCATTCTTACATAGTTGCATGATCCACCAATTGTCCTACTTAATTTTCTCACTCAAGCCCAGTCTTTTGTCTGATTGATCTTTCTTACAGGAGCTCTCAGGAGCAGCAAAATCAGTCACGGCCACAGGAAGTGCCAACCGACTCATGGTATCCGCCTTCGGTTGTCAGTACCCCCAGCTCCTCGCGCCCAGCAACACCTGGTGCGAACACGACTAGCAGTTTTGGCTCATCGAGGCCGATCGATCGGCCAAGCACTGTTTCCAATGTTTCACCAGCAGAGGCAGCAAGCATCATTGCTGTTTTGAAAGATAAGAGGTGACCAAACTTCCTCTTCATTTTTAATATTGCAGGTCTTTTTTTAGTTTATCTTTTATATGGTATGATATGCAATTTTTTCAATTTGATGAGTATTTGAGACTTATGAAACAGTATTTCGATCCTTGAATGACTAGGCATTGACGAGATGTTTATGTTACATTGCTATTTTGCTGTATCTTAGTTTGTTATTTTGTGTTTATTCTGTACTTCTATCTCGGGATGCAAAAACCCTACGTTTATACGTCATTGTTAATAGGTGAAGTTAATGCATTGGTAATCATACTTTACTTTTTTTATTTCTATTTTTTTAATGAATTGGTAATCATACTTTACTTTTTAATGTTAGTGTTGATGAGCTAAGAAAGCTGCTGTCCGACAAGGAGGCTTATCAAAATCTGTTGCTTTCAGTTGAACCTGTCAAAACCCAGAACAGGGTAAGTTACGAATCTTCAACACCCCGAACACTGGCAATTCTGTTTCCTGCTATGAGTTATTATTTTTCCAAATATGCTCAACATTTTTTTTGTTTTTTTGTCTGAACTTCTTATGAATATATGTTGCTTTAGAGATTGAATATCTGAGTAACCTTCATGAAACCTCATCGGTAGGAAGATTGTTTAGCGCGATTGGCTACACAAATAAACCGGTTTTGACTGACTGGTCAATATTTTTACACTACTTAACTCAAAATCCTACTCAAATTTAATCCAACTCAATTCTACTCAATACTATCAATATAATTAAATAATATCAATCAATGATACTCACACATCACATCATTCTTAATTCACTATTCATCCACCACATATTTTAATTATTTATCATTTCAATAGCCTCTCTCCTGCTTCAACATTACATCAACTTTAATCATTACATTTTAAATATTATTTAAATACAAACTCAAAATTCCACTCAATCCTCCACTCGATCAACTTTATTCAAAATTAACCTACTTTAATCAATAAATCCAATCAAAAGTTCAAAACCGATTTTATTTATATCCAATCAGCCCCTTAGTGTTTTGCCTTCTAAACGGTTTGTTCTAGGTGATGTGTGCCAAGACGTTCATTACTGGATTTTCTTTAATCTTACTACATTCATCTGATGGGGTTCTGTTTTTGTCCTAAACCTTGAGAAAGGCATATCTTTCTTGTCGTAAACCCTTTTTTTTTTTTTTGTGTATTTGTGCTCGTGTGCAATCGGGTATGGTTTCTCATGTTTATCTCCTGTTTCCCTGTGCTTCTTCATCCCATTCTATTTTAACATAGTTTTCTTGGAGTTATTTTTGGGCAATAAATATAACACCACCATTTTACATATCACCCAACCAGGTCAGAGATGAACTTAGGAACGAAACTCTGCAGCTTGCTAGTAAGTTCTCTTTCTGCTGCATTTTCAGCTAAGTTTTGAATGTATAACTTACATATATTAACAGAATACACGAACTCAATTACAGGAGAGAATCTTGAGAAAGAACCACGCATATTGGAGCTGAGGAATCAGGTGAGCTGTTTGTTCTGTAAACTTTTCCCTTGAAGTTTTACTCCCGGGTGCATTAATTACACCGTCTTATCTTTTGTGTTTTCCATCCTCAGTGCAGAATAATTCGGACGAGTGAGCTGGCTACCGCTCAAGAAAAATTGCATGAATTAGAAAGGAAAAAGGAAGAGACACTCAAGTATTATTCTCCCTCATCTCTACTCAATCGACTTGAAGGTAATTAAATTCAATCAAGAAATTCTCTCAGCTTGTCAAACTGGAACATCTGGAGTCAGCTGTGTCATATTTTCCTCTTTTTCATCAACTTTGTCGTATTCAAGTGGATTTGACTAGCTCTAGATGAGTTTAAACTAAGTATATACTTGTTTTGCATTATTTCAGATACCATGAACAAAACGGAAGAGGAGTCAGAGGCCCTGCACAGGCAGCTTCTTGATAGAGAGATTGATCTTTCAGCATTTGCACAGAAATACAAGAAGATGCGTTATGCCTATCATAAGCGTGCCTTAACCCATCTTGCTGCCAAGACATCTGCCACTGCTTAATTCTTGGTGCTAATCAAACTATATATGCTTTTTGGAAGCTATGTGTTGATTCTTGTCTATTTTGTGTAAAGAACACTTCTGTGCTTGAAATACGTATTTTGCTTTGTTGATTTTGTGTTCTTTGTTTTTTACAATGAGTTTGATATAGTTTGTGTTTTGATTAAAATGATACTGTGTGGCTGAAAATATTTAAAAGGATTTCCCGTAGGAAAAAAAGAGTACTTCGCCGGAGCTAGTTAAACCAAGCTATTGAATTCAATGTTTTTCTTTTTACATTCTACTGTATTATATTTTAATATGTATATGTTACTGATACTACTTTTAGAGGGTTTTCCGGTACCTGTCATTGTCCTTTGGTTGTGTTAATGTGTTCTTATGTTCATTATGTCTTATCACAAGCATATCGTTCAAATGCCCCTTTGGCCGTGTACTTACGTTCATTATGTCTTATCATGAACTTATTGTTCAAATGGGCGCCTTTTTGTTGTGTTCTTATGTTCATTATGTCTTTTTAGGAGCTTATTGTTTGTGATATGTTCATTATGTCTAGGCCTATATATGAGCCGCTCGAGCTTGGGATGCTCAATCTCAAGCTCGAGCCTTTAATGAGTTGAGTTGATCTCGGCTCGTTAAATAAACGAGCCAGAAATCAAACAGAGTTCGAGTCTTAACGAGCTGAACTACAGAAAATTATATAAAAAA